CACCTTGTTATCTCAGTATTGTGAGGGTCCCTACTTCAGGTGGAATGCAACAGTTTAAAAAAGCAGCTCACTACCACTTCCTGCAGGGCAATTAGGAATGGTTAATAAATGTGGGCCTGTCCAGTGAGGCGCACTTCCAATGAAAAAAAATTTTTAAAAATTCCCTGGCAAGAACAATGCTGAAATGAGTCGAAACTTCAATTTCCATGCATAAAGAAGGAATATAGTCTTATGGTTTAAGTGCTTTCCTGGGTCCCGACATAGATTCGCACCCAATTTATTTTTGGATCGATTCAAAATGAGATTTTTGGGCGAAATTTGAGGGTAACTTGTGCTCGGGAATGAATTTGCACTGTTTTGGGTAGTGTCTGGGGTGGAATTCACAATTTGACACAGGACTTTGCTGTTTCCTCCAGGTGCCGCACGGGGGCAGTGGCTGTCGGCGTTCAGTACTGCGGCCTGGGCAGGTTACCTCCGGTCTTCAATCAGACAGTAAAGCCCGGGCCTCACTCACTGTCGCTGCCTTCAACGGGGCACCGGCTTAATGTAAAAGTTTCCGCCAGTTTATATCGTATGAAGTTGAAATCCGAATGTGCAACTGAATCTCTTGGAATATTGCTTTTATTTTTCGATTCGACTTCGCACGTGCAAACGGGGAAAGGAAACTTTGAACCGAAGCGGTTTTGAGCAAGTGCGGAGGCCATCGGAGCACGGCGGAGGATGAGAGGAGACGGAACGGCTCATCCCGGAAGCGGAAACTGCTCAAGGCTTCCGTGGATCGAAGGGGAGGCGGCGGCTGGGGGCCGCGAGATGGCGGTTTCCATGGAGACACAGCTCCAAAGCATCTTCGAGGAGGTGGTGGTGAGTGATTGAGAGATATTGGGTTAGAGAGATGGGATAGGGTGGAGAGAGAGAGAGACAGAGACGGATACCAGGGAGAGGGGGATCAGGGTGGACAGAGAGAGATACACCAGGGGGAGAGAGAGAGGGAGGGAGGGAAGGAAGGAAGGAAGGAAGGAGGGAGGGAGTGTCTGTTGTGAGTAAATCACCACAAGCTACCTTTAATTCAGCTACTTATTAGGAAATCTCACAGACAATCAAGTACTGAAGCAATACTTTAAACTATTAAGCAAGTATAAGCCTGCGACCCAATTTACTCAGTACCCAATTAATGGTGAAATCTGGCCAGAATTTCAACCAACAGTGATGTATGTGTCTCTGGAAGTTTCCAGGGTTCGGTCCTTCTCTAGTGTTGTTCTTCTCAGTTCTGCAGTTGAGTCGTTCTGGTGTTGGATTCTTATACAACTTTCTCTCTGTCAAGATCGCACATTATTGGTATCCTTTAGATTCGTTCATCCCCAACATTGATTACACTTTTGGAGATTTCAAGTCTACTTGCCTTCATATCAAAAAACTAGCACCGTTGTTCCTTGTTGCATTAGGGTTAGCTCTCTTTAAACCACAGCTTTTTTTCCTGGTTCAAAACATTACTTCTGCAGGCAGGTCTAAATTGCCCAAATGTGGTGAGGCAGCAGACTATCAAATAATGTTATCTCTTGTCTCCCAGGAAACAGCTTGTTTATGTTGTTCCTGTAGCTCCTTTCTCCCAGGGATGGTTAATTCACATGTGGCTGTAACTCCTTTTTCTAACAGTTTCTCGTTCTTCCTTTCATCTCTAGAAACAGTTTATCCCAGAAGAGTTATTGCTGCTTCTTTCAATCCATGTGTAACGATTTAACTCGGTTAATTTTTCCAATCCACGAACAGTTATTAAAATTCTGAAATGTGCATCGTCAAAAGCGAAATCGGGTTAGGGTTAGACAGAGAGATAACAGGAAGAGGGAGCCATCTAGTTTGGGTTAAAGAGAGCAAGAGAGAAATGGTTAGGGTTAGAGGAGAGAGACAGAGCTAACGTTAGTAAGAGTGAGACACCAGTAAGGGGGTGGAGTGGGGAGAAAGTGAGACCCGCCAGAAAGAGAGCGAGAGAATTTATTGCCCATTCCCAGTTGCCCTTGAGAGTGTGGTGGTGAGCTTGAACCTACTGTGGGTTGACCCACAATGCCATTAGGGAGGGAATTCCAGAATTTTGACCCAGTGACAGTGGGGGAATGGTGATATATTTCCAAGTCAGGGTGGTGAGTGGCGTGGAGGGGATGTTGCAGGTGGTAGTGTTCACATGTATCGGCTGTCCTCATCCTTCTAGATAGAAGTGGTATGTTTGGAAGTTGCTTTAAGACCGTAGGAAAAGAAACAGAATTAGGCCATTCAGCCCAACAAGCCTGCTCAGCCTTTCAATCTGAGGATCTTTGGTCAATTTATGCTGTGCATTTTGTAGATAATACATATGGCTGCTACTGAACATTGTTGGTGTTGGGAGTGGATGCTTGTGAATGTGGTGCCAATCAAGTGGACTGTTTTGTCCTGAATGATGTTGAGCTTCTTGAGTGTTGTTGGAGTCGCACCCGTCTAGGCAAGTTGGGGAGTATTCCATCACATTCCTGATTTGTGCCTTGTAAATGGTGGACAGGCTTTGGGGAATCAGGAGGTGAGTTACTCACCGCTATATTCCTAGTCTCTGACCTGCTTTTGTAGCCACTATATTTATTTGGCAGGTCCAGTTAAGTTTCTGGTCAATGGTAACACCAAGGATGGTGACAGTGGGGGATTTAGTGACGGTAACACCATTGAATGTCAAGGGGCCTTGGTTAGAATGTTTATTTTTGGTGATGGCCATAACCTGGCATTGTATGGCATGAATGATACTTGCCATTTGCCACTTGTCGGCCTAGTCCTGAATAAAGTCCAGATCTTGTTGCATTTGAACATGGACTGCCTCATTATCTCAGGAGTCATGAATGATGCTGAACGTTATACAGTTGTCAGTGAACATCCCCACTTCTGACCTTATGATAGAGGGAAGGTCATTGATGAATTAGTTGACGATGATTGGGCCTCGAACAGTACCCTGAGGGACTCCTGCAGAGATGTTCTGGGACTGAGATGACTGATCTCCAACAGTCACAACCATCTTCCTATGTGTCGGGTATGACTCCAACCAGCGGAGAGTTTGCCCTGATACCCCTTGATTCCAGTTTTGCTAGTGCTTCTTCTTGCCACACTCAGTCGAATACTGCTTTGATGTCAAGGGTTGTCACTCTCACCTCACCTCTGGAATTCAGCTGTTTTGTCCATGTTTGAACCAAGGCTGTAATGAAGTCAGGAGCTGATTGACCCTGGCGGAACCCAAACTGGGGGTCAGCTGGTTTACTGCTGAGCAGGTGCTGCTTGATAACACTGTTGATGCCACCTTCCATCACTTTCCTGATGATTGACAGCAGACTGATGGGGGTGATAATTTGCCAGGTTGGAGTTGTCCTACTTTTTATGCAGAGAATATACCTAGGCAATTTTCCACGTTATCGGATAAATGCCAGTGTTGTAACTGTACTGGAAGAGCTTGGCAAGGGGAGCTGCAAGTTTAGGAGCTCAAGTGTACAGTACTGTTGCTGAATGTTGTCAGGGCCCTTCGCCTTTGCAGAATCTGGTGCCTCCAACTGTTTCTTCATATCACATGGTGTGAATTGAATTAACTGAAGGCATGGAATGTGTAATGCTGGAGACCACTGGAGGAGGCCGAGATGGATCATCCACTCGGCACTTCTGGCTGAAGATTGCTGTGATGTTTCAACCTTATCTTTTGGTTGATGGTCACTCTTACTTAAAGTGGGCTCTTCCAACATTGAGGATGGGGATGTTTGTGAAGCCTCCTCCTCTAGTGTGTTGTTTAGTTATCCACCACAATTCACAACTGGATGTGGCAAGACTGTGGAGCTTAGATTTTGATCCTTTGGTTGTGGGATCGCTTAGCCCTGTCTATCACTTGCTGCGTATGCTGTTTAGCATGAAAATGGTCCTGTTTGGTAGCCTCACCAGATTGACACCACATTTCTCGATATGTGTGGTGCTGCTCCTGGCATGCCATCCTGCAGTCTCGATTAAACCAGAGATGATCCCTTGGCTTGATAGTAATAGTTAAGTGGGAGATATGCTGGGTCATGAGGTTACAGATTTTGCTAGAGCACAATTCTGCTGCTGTTGATGGTGCACAGTGTCTCATGGATGCCCAGCCTTGAGTTACTAGATCCCATTTAGCATGGTGATTGTGCCACACAACATGATTGAGGTTGTTGTCAGTGTGAAGGTGGGACTTGGTCTCCACGAGGACTTTGCAGTGATCACTCTTACCTATACAGTCATGGACAGATGCACTTGCAGCTGGCAGGTTGGTAAGGATGAGGTCAAGTTTTTTTTCTGCTGCAGACCCCACCAGCTCAATCAGTAGTACTGCTGCCAAGCCACACTTAGCGGTGGACATTGAAATCTCCCACCTAGAGTATGTTTTGAGCGCTTGCTACCCTCAGTGCTTCCTCCAAGTATTGTTCAACATGGAGGAGTACTGATTCATCAGCGGAGGGAGAATGGCACATTGTAGGTGTCGGATTCAGGGAGATGTGGAGAGTGGGATAGCGGAGAGAAGTGAGGAGATGGGGCAGTGCAGAGAGGGAGGAGGGAGGTACTAAGACTATGGTGGAGAGGGGAGCAGACGTTTGCAAAGGAGGAATGGAAGGGGGTGTAGGGTCAAGGGAGTCACATTGAAGGGAAAGAGAGGGATGAGTGAGATTTGCAGAGGGAAGCAGAGTGGTGAAGCAGAGCTGCGGGGGAGGAGATGGTGGGGTGTAGAGGAGATTGTGTATTTTGGGGATGGTCATTTGTAAAGGGGAGGAAGTGGAAAGAGGTGGGAACAAGGGGTGCATATGAGGATGTTGCAGGAGGGGGAGGTGGCGAGAGAGGTGCGGGAATTGGAGAAGGGAAGCATAGCAGAGAGGTGAAGGAAGAATGGGAAAGATGAATGAGCAATGTGGGGATAGGCTGTTGACCGGGGGGGGATACTCAATTTTGAGCCTACAAAGTGTGGGAGGAAGGGAGAAATCAGAAACTGTGCAGAGAAACTGGTAATTGATGAGTGCCTTTAACTGTGTTTTACAGTTAGAGGGAGATTGGGCATCTCGGTTATACACTGGGATGGATAGATTTGGAGGAATGTGAAATGGAGTAAACAGAGTTTACACAAAAAGTTGCACAATCGAACAAAACCCTCAGGCTTACTGTTCTCCTGTGAATTCAGGGAGATGATGACCTAGTCGTGTTATCATTAGACTTTTAGTGCACAGACCCAATAGTATTCTGAAGAGCAGAGTTCAAATCCAGCCATGGGATGACCATCGAATTAAGAGTTCATGACCATTGTCAATTGTTGTAAAAACCTGTCTGGTTCACTAATGACCTTAGGGAAGGCAACTGATGTCCTGGTCTGGCCGATATGTGGCTCAAAATGCAATATGGTTGACTTTTCACTGCACTCTGAAATGGCCTGGAAAGTGACTCAGTTATAATAATCACTCAAGCCTGATAAAAGAAATGAAACTATATGGACCACCTGACATTGATGAAGGCATGGGAAATGAAAATGGCAAGTATTGTCTTGAGCCTGTTGGCCCTGCAAAGTCCTACTTAACAACATTTGAGGGCTAGTGCCGGACTGGAAGCCTCTTCAAGCAGCAGTAATTAGGATACTAGTTAACTAACAGCCTGACATTGTAATTCTCACTTGACAGGTGATATCCCAGAAACCTCCATCACTATCCCTGGATCTGTCCTGTCTCACCAGCAGGACAGGCCCACGAGAGGTGGTGGAATAGTGGAATACAGCCAGAAAGCAGTTGCCTTAAGTCCTCAACATTGACCCCAAAAACAATGAAGTCTCATGGCACCAGGTGCAGTGAGACTGGGTCGGTGGGAGG